TAGTAACTGTGTTATTAATGTTTCATGTCACTTCCCTAGTATTTTTTTTATAACAGTTTACATATAATACATGTAGAAAGATTAGAGGTTATGGTGCAGCCACTACCAAGTAACAGAGATTAGTCAAGATGTCAAACTGACATAATATTGACCTAATTTTTATCAAACAGATCACAGCAGCCACAGTGTGACTTGGAATTGACAACTTATTGACCAAGACTAAAGAGTGACAAATTTTTTACTGTTTTGCACAATGATAGAAACTGTCATGTTTACGTCAATATGACATCAGCTGATGTAAACAAACATGGGTTTAAACCACTGGGAGCACGTAAGCCATTGTCATACAGGTCCATATGTGGCTCTGGGGTTAGCACGTTACCACTAGGATTCAGATTCAAAGGTCGTGGGTTCAAATCCCACTTGCAGATAGCATTTCATGGCAAATTCTGGTAGGGCAAAGCTGAGAGAGTAGATGGACACCATCAAGCAGAGTGTAGAGTGGCCAGCAATATTATTTCTTTAAAAATTCCGTATTATCACTATGATGTCATGTTGACATCAAAAAATGGTCATGTTCTTCAATGGAAAACACGTCATAGTGACTAAATCAAAATTGACCAAAAATTGATGTCATATTGACATATGACAAAAATCTGTTACTTGGATACTTTTCACCACTGAGCGCGACTTATGAATGCACAAGGGGTGTTTCTGAATGATCCCTCACTCCTAATAAACTTGTCCCAATTTTTTCTGACATCAAAGAATATAACATTTTTAAAAACCGGTGTTGATTTGGTTGAAGAACAAAATAAGTTTCCTACTTAGCACAAATTGTTTTTTGTGTTCATAGTATATTCCTTGTTTAACATTTTTGGTGATGCGTAAAAGTATATTTTTGTTTTCAGCGAAAATGAGCCATGACGGAGAGAAGCGTATAACTTGTCCTTATGATAAATCTCACTTCATACTGGAGTCCAGAATTCAAGTTCATCTCCACAATTGCAGGAAGAATCACCCCTCTGCTGACTGGGGTATTTGCACTTTTAATTCATCTCATCATGTGCGCCGTGTGGATCCCGTACTCCGACCGTACTCTGGGGTATTTGCACTTTTAATTCATCTCATCATGTGCGCCGTGTGGATCTAAAGGTCAGTTTGTTTCAATTTATTCTGACATTTTTTCAAAAAAACTGCAGTTGATGCTATGCGCATCCTTCAGTTTCGAGCTCTGAGTTTACATACCTCTTTCTTTAGCGGCATGAGGATGATGAGTGTCCTGATCGTCACAAGTTCCAAGCCATGCAAGTAGGATTTCAGGATGAAAACACCCCACTTGTGCCGATTGACAAGATAGATCTTCCAGAATGTGAAGAAAACTGGGAAGACGTAAGGGTTTGCTCTCTTAAATGTAAGAAATAATCATAAATTGTCTAGTTATTTTTTCATGCCTTTTAAATTTTCAGGAGCCTTTGAATACTTTTAACCCTAAGGAAAATGCAAAAGCTAAGGCTCTCATTCGTAGCAAGCACTGTGTACCTCGAAGTGAAAGAAAACAATTTCGAGCAGAGCACAGGGCACATGTTATGAGTAATGCAGACATAGCAACAAGAAATGGCTTTAATGTTCCCAGATCTAGTAGGAGCACCTTCAAATGTGAGTGTGAATCAGCATGTAATTACTTACCATCTAGTCATGTTATGGAGCTGCTAAGAATGCAATTTACATGAATCTGTTTTTTACTTTGTAGGAAATCTCAAAGGAATCCCTCAGGGAATCTAATCATATCCCAAGAGGTCTCAGGATCTTAAATTTGCCCTAAAGTTATGCTTTTGGTCAAAACAACTGGCTGTGATCATATGCTTTCATGCAGCTTACACCTTACCAGCACCTGCTAAGAACGAAGTTTCAGCGTTTGTGTCAAACATGTTTGATGCACTGTCTATCTTCTCTTTACATCAAACACATGATGTAAAACCGCGCTTATTTATAATAATGTCTGTATTTTCAAAGCAGAAGCCACAAAGTCAAAAATAAAGTTGTAAATTAGCAGCAAGTTTCATGTTCATTTTTATGGTGGATGTTGTTTCTTATAACAGTCTTATTTTGTTGTGTTATAAAAATTAACGTAAAATCGCAACAGTTTTTGTTGGGAAACTAGTCAATGTGTTGTTTCTTGACAGAATTTATTGGTTAGTAACGAATTTTGTGGTCATAAAACAATAAATTTTCCCTTCTCTCCAAAACAACCATGTCGTTTTTCAACAGATATGTCCTCACAAAAATATTTGTTTTTGAACAAACATGTTTTTCTGTGTAGGGTGGGATGCGTAGTAAAGGTGCCCCATCGTTACAGTGTTTCCACATTTTAAAGACGGATATCTTGGGCCGCAGGCCCACCCGAAGACCGAAATTAGTGCCGAAATGTAGAGAGACTTTAAGCCCCGCCGGCCGTCAGCCCCAGCGAAGTGAAGTACGGCTGGTGGAACGGCGAGGCTGCTCGTTTTCCTCGCGATCTTACATTTTCCCATGTGACGAAGGCCCTGTGCCAGTAGCATGCTTTCAAAGGCAAATTTGTCTTTCAGTGGTCAGAACGGCACGCAAGACGCAAGCGTTATGCATCCACTATCGTGATGCATCGTCCATGGCGCCGGACGCCCCCCGAGCTCTTCGGCAACCCGCCTGCTCAGTGCAGCGCGGCATGCATGCGCGTTGGACGTTGCGAACCTTTTCCGGTTGCAGCATCTTATCCAGATCTTATCTTCAGCCGTCTCATCTCATCGCACCTTCGAAACTACTTCGCATCGAAGGTGAGCCAGTCAAAATCTACACTCACAATTTTGATAAATGTTTAAATAATTAGTTTGATGCCGAGGACAGAAGTTCCGTACGCGTTGTGGACAGACACAAAGTTAGCCTCAGATAAGGTTATGTTATGTGTTCTCTCAGTTTATTATTTCAGTTTCGTGCAGAATTATGCATGCTGAGTGTTTTTCGTCGATGTTAATAAAAATAGATTCATGATTATGCACTTGAAACCTAAAGAACTCAACGTATGGGGTCTGGATTACAAACTTGATGCCTCAACCCATCAACATGGTTGATAATAGATTTGCCATGTTTATGCAAATATAACAGCAGTAGGTTAATCAAATTGACCATTCATTCCATGCAAAAAAGGGACATAAAACATAAAGGCAGATTCTTGGCGCAGCTGTTAGCGAGTTGAACTAATCAGAGTGGGTTCGAAACTCTCACAGAGGTTGCGTCTTTCAAGAGTTGCCAGAAAATTCTGTACCTGGGCCAGTAATAATAGTTTTAAATAATTATGTTCCGCCTCTGTGTTACATTTTGACATTGAACTAATGCCCTCTATGAGATATACACGTAGCGACTGGGGTAGTTCTTGACTAAAATTTAATAATTAGTTCTCGTCATTATGCTCTTAAGGTACCAATATTTTTCAAAGATTTTGGATTGCATTTGTGCACTACAGGAATAACAAATCAAAAAACTTCTCTGAACAATTTTAGTGCTTTATGCTTTGGTCAGGCACTCATTAATACGATTAGTAAGTAGCCTCCAAAGTGTTGCACCAGTGGCTGACTTACCCGCAGGGGCGTAGGGCGTATGAAGGGGGGGCGGACAGGGGGCGGTGCATCGAAAGTTGCCTACATACAGGGGTTTTGTATGTCAAATTGCCTACCTTTAGGCGGCTATCTAGTGGTCCACAGGGGGGCGATCGCCCCCTCCCCCCCCCTAATACGCGCCTGCTCACCCAGAGCTTTATTGTAGTTATGTTGTATGTTTTTTTTTTTTTTTTTTTTTTTTTGTAAATAAGTCCTTCATTGAGGTGTCACCACAGCGTTCCCCAACGTTCCCCAAGGTGGATGCTTGCGTGCACGCGTATCTTGCCTTTATGTGGTATGGCGCTTAGGGCGGGCCGCCGACTCCACACATGTGCTCGCTCGTCGGGTTGGCCTACCTGACCCGTTGCAGGCCATCGATAGAGGAGACCGAAGCTGTCAGAACGACGTATATTTTGTGCATTGGAACGCATCGCTGGCACTATCGGCTCGGGGAAAGAGATATAATGAGAACACACTTTCGCGCGTTGGACCATAGCCACGAAAGATGCTCAGGGGACGATAGGCCTGACTGCTTGACCCGAGTCACGGGTGAACAAGTGGTCGTTGTAACCCTGTTTGTAGTTGAAGTTAAAATTTCCTGCGAGTGGTCGACAATTCGTGTACTCCTATGTACAAGGGTGACCGTACCCCAACCGTACTCCGACCGTACTCTGACCGTACTCTGACCGTACTCCGACCGTACTCCGACCGTACTCCGACCGTACTCCGACCGTACTCCGACCGTACTCCGACCGTACTCCGACCGTACTCCGACCGTA